CTTTTCCTTCTGGTAGGGATCAGTAGTAATAATAATATTAAGGACAACCATCGGCTGACCCCAGCTCTTGTCGCCCTTGGCAAAGGAGGTGTCTATGGAATCGTAAGTGTAGTAATGAGAGATCTCTTGTGCCATTCTTTCCTTTCTTTTGCTGTCTTGTAAGAAGCAGTAATATAAATGAGAAGGCAGACAATCGTCAGTTGTTCCTTGGTATTGTTTCTGCCGGATACTTGGCGACATCGTCGTTATCTCAGTGGATAGTATTTATAAAGACCATTGACTCATGGGGGTAGATGCTAGAAGCATGACGGGATGGCAGTACTAGCAGAATATCTAGTGTCTGGCTTCACCAGAAGATCCTCAAGATCACTCGTCGGGTAATTCTTGCTCTGCTGTTGCGAACTAATACTGGTTATAAGAAGACGGACAACGATCGATTGATCCAAATCATGGCGCTGATACTTAACGAGTGTCTTTAGCGTCCACATAGTGCCATTAACCAGACCATTTAACGGGAAGTAAATGTTGAGCTTGATGATGGACTGGTAATGTTGATCCAACTGTATCTCTTCGGTCGACTGAATCATCACGTGTAGTAGTAATGAGCGAGTCGGCCGTAGATTTCTTCCTTCCTCTTTGAGTTATTAAGAAGCCGAAAAAAAAAAAAAGAAGAAGAAAAATCATTTGTTCTTCTCAACTCATGCCATGGCCACAACTTTGCTATTTCGTCAATGCCCAGATATTAAACATGCCATTAGTGGGCGGGAAATAGCCCTTGCGATCATGACGGAATGATCGTAATGAATCGATCATGTATACATGCTATCGATTTGTTTCTTTTGGTTACCAGTAGCAAGTCTGTCTGATTATTCTCTCTTTGTAGTATCAGTTATGATAATGTCGTGGTGAGCTTCTTGCTTTCCGGTTTTGCTGTTAAGAAGCAGTAACGAAAAGGTTATCCTAGCCATTGTCGTTTCGGCCCTGGCAGTGGCAGATAACGTCGCGATGAGCAAAATATGTGCCATTTTTCTGAGTTCTAATATAATTCGAAGTGGCCATGATGTGCCCTCGTACGTATAGCTTCAGCGAGGAGATCAAGACTGACATCAATGGATAATGCTCGGCACAATTTATAATGTGAAGGGGGATAGTTATCCATTGTAGTTAGCAGTTGCAAGAGGCAATGCATTTCTGAGTCTGTCAATTATATGACACCTTCAAGAATGTGGTCCTCGAAGCATTGGCTTGTATACTCTATTTGTTGATGATCTTTATGATTTGAAAGCTCTTGAAGTCGGCTGTGGAATGTTATCTTTGGCTATTAGAGTCTGGGTGCTTTGCCCGCATTGGCTAGATGTAGCAAAGCTTCCTCTCCCATAAAGGCAGCGAAAGAGTCCTCATAAAGATAGTCACATTCGATACCACGAGCAACTCTGTAGGTAATCTCTGGGTGGACTTCAATAAAGCGAGTTTTCGCCCCCTCATAAATACAGGTCAGGATATATATTCCCAGGTTCGAAAGGAGGAGTTATCGAAGAGTCATGTTGTGATGATTTTGGCCACGGTATTGCGGATAATGGCGCGATGAGTAGGATATGTGCCCATTTTCCGAGCCCCAGTATATGGACTAGGTATATCTCCTCAAGTCTGAGAGAAGAAGGTTATCAGAGATCTCCGTTAAAATAATGGCCACGAAGTCTTGGAAGATAATGGCGCGATGAGCAACAGGTGTGCCCGTTTTCCGAGCTCCAATATAGGATATTAGGTGTAAGTTCCGCCGGTTAATGTTCTCGTGGACTAATAGTCATGGGCGAGATTGTCGTTGAGTCGACTATCTCCTCTTTGCTGTTAAGAAGCAATAATAAAAAGAACAACCATCGGTTGATCCCAACTCGTCACTGACACTATCCGGATGATTATTATCAACACAACATCACACGTTCGAACACTGAATAGAGTAATAAGAACGAGGCAATGCTGAGGATAAATCCGCGACCCATGATTGTGGCAGATCGAATATGGCCGCGCTCTAAGCAAGCTGGACATGCAATAACAAGCATTTGCTGCTGGGAAGTCTGTCAAGAGATAAAAATGTGATTATCATATTGATAACCCATATACCAGACTGATCAAAGGCTAGAGCGATAGTCGCGACCCAATCTTTTAGTTGATTGGGTCTTTCGCATGATAGAAAACAAACACCATCCATCTTTTTTCCTGAACTGCCAGTAAGCAGCAGCAATAATAATAGGGACAACCGCTTCAGTGGGAAGTCCGTCACGGATATTAATGTGATTATACAAGTGATAACTCATATAGCAGTCCAGTGCCTTTTTGCTCGCTCGCCTGATCCTCTGGGAAGCTTCGAAGAATGTTGGCAGGGGCCATGGTGTTCCAAGTACCAAATTATTGATATAAGAGGTATCGAGACCACAGTAGACGATACAACAGTGGACGCTCAATTGTTTTAGTTGGTTGAGACTTTAAGCGAGTTTAGCCCTCTCCTGTCTATTGCTGTTAGTAAGACGCAGCAGTAATGGCAAGGCCAACCATCAATGGCTCTGAACATCATCCCAGATAACAAATGTGACTTTCATGATTATCAGCATCCCGGACCATGGACGGGAACGAGGTATTGAGGTCGTAAGAGAAGAGTGACACTCGCGACCCGGTTTTTGTTGTTGAGTAAGCCTTCTTGGAAGATAGAAAACAAAACCAACTCTTCTTCCTTCGCTGGTGGTGAGAAGCAGCAGCAGTAGTAAGAACAAACACCCGTTGCCCCGAGCTTTATTCTAGGCGATAATGCGCCGTGGTTTTCTCCTTGCCTTGACTGTTCGTAAGCAACAGTAATAATAAGGACGACCAGTTTCCTCGTCTGATTCTCTGGTAAGTGCCATGTATAATGATATGACTATTATCAGGATAAGCGTCCACATAACACTAAGTGAGCTCGACCTTTCTCTCATTCTTAGCAATAAGTAAAGGAGCCATGGACTGCTTCAGACGCTCTGCGAGGTTAAGTGCCGCAAGTATTATTGCGATTGCAATCGGTCCGTCGACAGATAAGCAAGCAGATATAGATCATATGGGTAGCAATGTAGTTAAGAGGATCTTCTCTTGCATACGCACTTTCAACGGCTCTGCATATGCAACCTGCATGACGATCATAGTGCCGTCATGCATGTTTTTGAAGAATGACCGTGTACTTGGACTTTCTTACTATCAGGAGATAGCTTTTCAATAGGCCACTTATTTTGTTTGTGTCGCTGAGAACATCAAAACAGAGAGAAGAAGGTTGTCTCATCGATCGAGCAAGTGAAACATTCATCGTTCGTCCTATCATCGAAACCGATCAAATGTATAGTTCCCGATGGCTCGAGGTTTCGATGGTAAGCACCAAGATCGATCTTATGTAGAAAAGTTGAGCGCGGTGCGATCTCCCGTGAACGATTGATCCTTCCAGGTGCTGGAAGCCCCATATAAGGATGATTATGCTCGATGTTATTAGTTCAATAGTAAGCGAGGGGCCATTTCACCCATCAAGTTCTGTTTGTTGAGGATAGTGGTTGGTAACGATGTGGTTTCCATTTAAGTAAGAAGCGCAGTATACACTCGTCGAAGAATGGGCTATGCGATCGATTGGGCGTTGGTCATCCGAAGTATTCGGTAGTCTAGTCTTTGACTTCTCTCCTTCTGAATTACCTCGATCAGTTTGCCCTGTACTCGAGGCACAATCACCTGTGTACACGCCTGTGCTTGCTTGTGAGCTTTCCGCCCGCTCAGTCGCAGACGACATCACTGTCAACAGAGACGGGATGTCTGTTAAGTGTTCCTTGTCTTGTTGTCATAATATTAAAAACTGAGCAATCACAAGCTCTCTGAGATAGTATCAACAAGGCCGACCGAAGAATGTGAGCTGAGACTGGCCGATCTGCAGGTCTGAGGTCTCAAAGGTAAGCGTGGATCATCCCACTCATCAGGTTGAGATCATTTGTTGAGTGTTATCGAGAATGTTAAACTTCCCATGAAAGTCGAAAGTCGAAAGTCAGAAATGCCTTTGATATTTCCTGAACGTCAGGCTACTCGATCGATGGAGCAATTGTTCGTTTGGAGGATTAAATACCTGATCTTCCTCAACGTGTGGGGTTTAGCGAGCAAGCATGGACCAATTCATCTCATTATTAGGTTATTCAGGATAGTCGAGAATGGTGTAGCTTTCAATAAGGTGTGAAGTGCATTGTCTTTCACGAAGCTCTGCGTTTTGTTCGATCGACGTATACGTTGAAGTAGGTCCTCGATGGTCTAATGGTCGCGATCAAAGTATCCGGTACCCGTGCGAGAACCGACGACGTGCAGAATTGCTCGCTCCAAGCATGTTCACATGAACTCTTGTTAGGGCTAGTCATGAGTCGAGAAGGTTCAGGCAGAAGATATAGCTGAGATTGCCTTGCAACGAGACAAATCAGCGATACTTCCTTGGCTATTGAGGTTCAATAGTAAGCGTATAGTCCTACTTCCATCGAGTTCACTGCCATGCTTCCAGTTTGTCACATACCTAAGCTTCTGTTAACTCATTGTATTATCCGCCCTGAAGATTGGCAGCGATGCAGTAGTTTTGAGATGCGAACGCGTGGCAGAGTTACTAGGCTCTTCATATATTAGAATCCAGTGTCATCCCCCAGAAAAGTACGAAGTACATACCAAGCATGATCGATAGAGTATTTGATTCATGGACTGATTAACCATTTCAATACCGAGAAGCGTTCTCTGAAGGATACCTTTCAGTCTCTGGGATTGGGTGTTTCGAAGATAAGCCCAGAGCTATACCTTTGCGTACACGGTCGCTTCGTGTACTGTGAGTTGTATTTGTGAGATCTGAGGGTGTTCGTCTTTCGTAAGGTTAACGCGACGTGATGGAGCAATCATTTATTTTGAGTAAATATTCAAGGCACTGTCGGTAACATTCTATCAGTTAATCCGATTCTAAATGCAACCGAACATCAGTTGATAGATGGAACTCCCGATTGATCCTTCGGAGTATAATATTTCTTCTCTGATAGAAGTAAAAGAGTAAGTATTATAATTTCTTTCACCCAGTGTTCTGTTCTTCGTTCAAAGTTCAAGAAAGAGAAGGCCATACTGACCAGGATAGCTGTAGTGAGATAAAGAAAAACGATCAGTTAAAAAATTCTGCGAGCGCTTTCTCCTGCTCTGGAAAAAACGCTGCGAAGGAGATTGTGTAGTATCCAGTGTAAAGTGCTCGAGATACTGGTGATTCTAAGTTGTTGTGGGATTCGAAAGGTTTAGTAGATCAACCGAAAGCAGTCCATCATACCCCCGTTGCCTGTATCACCGAACATTTACCTCACCATCGCCTGCAGGTGCGTATCTTTGATGCGGTTTTGATGATACTTCTGTGAGATGATAAGAAAGATTATCTCACTATGTATAGTATCGTCTGTTTCCTTTCAGATATTGACAGTAAGGTCCATCGGTGACAGGTTTGCTAGCACCAGAGACGCAATTTAGCAACAAAGGCCGATAGATAGACAACTGAGGTATGAAATATAAAGTTTCAGTGTTTCAATAGCTGTGGGTCACTTTGGTTGCCCAGGCGAGTCGATAAGAGCCCATTTAGTGCTCAGGATGTTGGGAAGGCGAGCCAATGTACCAGTGAAGCGTTCGTTGGCATTTGAGCATCGGCGATTCGCTTGATCGGCATATGCCCTAGAGTGTCACAGAGTGCAGCAAGCACATTATACAGTTCCCCTAGCTTATGGCGAATATCCATCTTGTAATGCAACCGAGATATTCCAGCCCACCTGTCCGCCAGTCGAGCGAGCTCAGAGACAAGCAACCATGGCCGTGCATAGTCTCTTTCAAACTTGTTCGACTAATCCCAGAGGAGGACGATGTTCTTAGAACTGTGGAACTCCTTTCTTATTTTCAGTCCTTGGCAGCTGACTTTGTTTGGAGCCATTTGAGTAATCTGAGCACCACCGGTTAGTGAAAGCTCAGTAGATAGGAGACACTCAAAATAAATCCCAGTAGCGGGATTGATGAAATATGGAATGAGATCTGGAGGATGTCTCTTCAACATACCGTACAACGTCATGGATATTACCTTGTTACTCTCTCTCTCTCTGTACGTCAGACGGAGAAATAAAGCGTCGAGATTTATAGGCAGATATAGCGAGTCTCTCCTCGAATATGAGTTGTATGGACCGGATAGAGTAAGACCTGTTGCAGAAGACTCTCTATCATCTTCATCTTTGGTTGCTATCGGAGGACATCATAAATAGTCCCCCGAGTTTCTTCTTTTACCTTTGACCGACCTTTCTGCTTGAGATTTTCGATAGCGGATGTCTCGGAGCATAAGGCTTTGCACCAGATAATCGGTGGATGTGACCATCATATAAGTTTGATAGACCAGGCAATCGGTCGATAATGAAAGATATTATATAAGTATGATAGAAGATTGTTATATATAATCGTCTGATAATTAGATGATAGAGAGAAGAAGAAAAGGAGAGAGTTGGGTGGAAGGAGAACGGCGTTTATATAGCCCAGCAGAAAGCCAACAAGTGAACGCTCATATCTCAAGATTCCAAAGATTCAACGTAAAGGGTGAACGAAAGGAGTGAACGGTAATCAATATTTGAGTTAGTAGACCCTTTTGAGGCACTCGTTGAATATCAAGATGCTCTCGTGCACTGGGATGCGTGCACTGAGATGCATTCAACGGTTGGGCTTGATCAAGCCGCAGTTGCCCTAACTTTGGAAGTAGTGAACGGCGTGTAAGAACCAAAGCATGAGAATAACAGGTTCAAAGGATTCTACTTCGGGAAACGAGCGGGTCATACATGATCATGACCGTCATAGCGAGTTAGGGTTGCGAGCTTGGATAACTGGACGGTGCCGGGTGACTATTTGTGAACCTGGAACGCCTGATAGAAGCACCTAACGATAGGCTGATAATTACTCTTGAACATTGTGCTTTGCTTTGTGCTAGGTTATGTCTTGGCGTTAATGAGATTTCTACTCTTATGTTCAAGGATCAGGCGAATTCTTCAAATAGAAATCCTACAGAAAAACTCACAGATCTTGCGGGTGACCAAAAAGCTTCATATTCTCCGCCGTAACAGCTATTGTACTCCAAGAATTCGGCCTATTGCCATAACATACGCCGAGTGAACGGGACCAAGGCCTCATGGAGGTTGCATCACGCCCAATGAGTGGCCTAAAAGGCAGGTACCTAGGCAAGTCCGTTCGGACACAGTCCTTGGGCCGTTGACGATCATTGATTCGCGATGTTTATAGCATCTTTTGACCTCTAGGCTATCACAGAGCTTATAGAACATTACTTACACCGATGGGATCGGAGCGGGTAGGAAGGTCCTTCAAAGTCGAAACGACGGGGCAATAGTACTATCAATGAAGCCCCGGACATGATAATGCTCGTTGTGATCTAATAAGATCGCTGAAGAGCGATGCTTAGGTAGTGGTACCATGAGAGATACCACTAATGTGCAGACTCCGAGCATCTACAGTATTATTATTGTCCATTACGTTATCAGTATGGATGGGGCATTATGAACAGACCGTTGTAGCCTCTTGTAGGTTCATGCTGAACTCCTAGCGAGGTAAGTAGTACTATCGGGAGAGCTGTATTGGGACTACTTACCGCAAGCGGATAGCTTCAAGCGTCTCGATTTAGTCATGACCTACACGGATTGATACACAGTATTCCACAACAGCAACTCCGTATTCCAGTAAATATTTCCAAGATAAGGACAAGCATAAGCGAATGACGAGAGCGATGAGGTGATTTGTGATAGTGGTGGTGGAAGTAGGGGAGTTTTGAGTAACGCGAGAAATAATACACACGGCAAGTGGGGTTTGCTTGATACAGATCAATACTTACTTTACCTTACCTTAGTTATCTGCACCTTCCGCTGCAGTTCGTTGCAACCCACGGAAAGGTCCAGGGTCTGACAACAAAGTAAAAAGTACACAGTAGCATTCTGGAGGTGATCTGTCCCCTCTTTCCCCATCCATGAGACAACTGAGCCTCGGAGAAAGCTTTCTCATTTTACCCCCGAGTAACCCCAATGATACACCAATCATAATGTACAGAAGCAGTCTGGACCCGACCTGCTTATGAATCGCGGAAGGAAAAGCTACTGTGGTGCCCCCAAAGCTGGTTCGGGAAGGTGGAATACAGCAGCAAAACGTCATTCCGAAGAACCCCGCCAGGTGGGGGTTTTTTGGTGAGCTTCCGATGGAGGGAAAGACCGACATTGGAAGCCCATCGAATCCACTGGGGAGCAACGAGCGAGGCACTCTGACTGATTCGGAGTCCGCTGCTGCTGCTACTGCTGTTCTGTTGGGTCGCTCATTATTTACCCCTCGTTCTCTTCTTCTCTCTCCTCTTTCCCTCCCCATCATCCTCTCCAAAATCTTGAATTTACCCCTAGATCCAAGGTAGTCCAATCTTCAAAAACCGTCAAAATGGTCAAGGCTGGTAGGTACCTGCACTTTTCTTCAGCCCTTTTGGTTTTCCTATCCTGCTATTGGCCTTAACCCCCTCCACGGATCCACGATCGACCGTGGCCGGGGGACCTTGAGTGAGCAGATTTGAGCACCTTGCGATCCCTCCTGCACCTATCACGATCTGGGGACCCTGTTTGCCAGCCCGGCAAGCTCAGCGGGATTTGGTGACATCTGCCAGCTCATTCGTCCCCGTCAGCTGGAGCTTTGTTTTATCTTTCGTATTAATAGTACCACGATCAAAGTCTGGTTGATGGCCAGTGATCGCTGGATCTCGTGGTTCTGGAAGGTTTCCATCGATGAAAATCATGGGCTGACATCCATCTCTTAGTCGCTGTTATCCGTGGAGACTCCAAGGTCTCCGGCACTGTCACTTTCGAGCAGGCCAACGAGAACACCCCCACCACCATCTCCTGGAACATCACTGGCCACGACGCCAACGCTGAGCGTGGCTTCCACGTCCACCAGTTCGGTGACAACACCAACGGCTGCACCTCCGCTGGCCCTCACTTCAACCCCTTCGGCAAGACCCACGGTGCTCCCGAGGACGACGAGCGTCACGTCGGTGACCTTGGCAACTTCAAGACCGATGCCGAGGGTAACGCCGTTGGCTCCAAGCAGGACAAGCTGGTGAAGCTCATCGGTGCCGAGAGCGTCCTGGGCGTACGTTTTCATCCCTGCCCTTATTCCTGACTGTTTCTGTAAAGATGCTAATGCAATGCATACAGCGGACCCTGGTCGTCCACGCTGGTACTGATGACCTCGGCCGTGGTGGCAACGAGGAGTCCAAGAAGACCGGTAACGCTGGTCCTCGTCCCGCCTGCGGTAAGCATATTCCTACCAAGATACCCCTTCTCACTGAAATCAACCTTGTTTACTGATCTCGTCTGTCACAGGTGTCATCGGCATTGCCGCTTAAGTGCCTAAATCAGTCTCCAAAGCTGTTCGACTAGGATGTGAAGGGCTAGAACAGAATGAGTAGTCTGCCATTATCTCGTCGACAACAGGAATAAAATGAATGCACGAATGACTTGATGCCAACTGTTATGATAACCGGCATTTCTGCCAGACTGTATCGAAGCGCTGATTACCTCTGCTGTGGGTAGTACAGAATGTAACTATTTTACTGGAAGAATTAGCTTTCTACTTTGACGTCCAAGTAGTACATGTCTAGATGCACAGTCTCATCATCGTCTCCTTTGTGGTTGTACTCGTTGCGGCCTAGGGTGATTCTAGCGCTTACAGCTACATACATGGTGTCACGGAACACATGGACTAGAGGCGAGCCAACAGACATGCCCAAGTTTGATCAATTAGCATAGCGCTCGTCGCCAGAAACACTGAGTAGACAAGTGTTTATGCTGCAGCTCAATTGTAGTAATTGGTAAAGCATCTTTGGTGAAGTGGTTGGTGAAGTGGTGCTTCCTGCAGTGACGGAGCTCCAGGGAAGCTTGTAGTTCAGTAAGTGTGGTCTTGGAAGAGTCACTAAATGAATGAAGATTACTCTTCTTAATCACTGGGACTTAGCAAGTTAATTCCATGATGATATGCAGACAACGGTGCGGATAGTTGCAGGAGCGAAGCTCCGTCGAGGCCGGAGTCGAACTCCCCCACAAAAGTCAGGTGCCCGCCCGAGCGCGATTGGCCGCTCGGACTGCTGTACCTGGCCTCAATGGAAGTAGTCCGACTGTCTTCTTCTCCCTTTCCCCTATCATTCATTTGGTCTTTTTTTCTTGTCCCCTTCTCATAATTCATTACTTACATCCCTTTCTCCTTAATTGCTTCTGCCTCTTTAACCCCGTCTCGTCAATTTCTGGTCTCGCCTGTCGCTTGCCAGCATGCCTCTGGAAGCCCGCGTGAAATCTGTCCTGTCCGGCGACACGGTGGTGCTGTCGCATATCAACAACCCAGGCCAGGAACGTATCCTCAGTCTTGCATATGTCTCCGCGCCGAGACTACGCAGAGAGGGAGATGAGGTGAGTTGGTTCTTTTTTGTGTTTTCAGATACAATGTCAATGCGCGGTGCAACCGTTTGTTTCTGCCTGGATAGGTGGCCTCTACATCAGGGACAATTGGCTGCATTCCATCCGAAATCTAACATTCTTGACTGAGTTGGAATCGATCTTGGCCCGTTATAACTAGCATCGCTTAATTGATCTATCAATAACTTGCTAACTGCCGCTGTTTTCTTTCTGCAGCCGTATGGCTTCCATTCCCGAGAGTTTCTCCGCGAGCTCCTAGTCGGAAAAGTCGTACAATTTCAAATCCTGTACACCATCCCTACCGGTGCTAAGCGCGACTACGGTACAATCAAACTCCCGACCTTCGACGTCTCCCTTCCCGACATCAGCGTCCAGGAAGGATGGACTCGCGTCCGCGAAGAGGCTGGCAAGCGCAGCGACGAGTCTGAAGAGACTGTGGCGTACCTGCAACGACTCCGTGCATTGGAGGAGCATGCCCAGACGGAGGGCAAGGGAACATGGGCAGGCACAGAGAATGGTCGCACAGAGACCACTTATGAGCTGTCTGACCCTAAGGCGCTGGTTGACGAATGGAAGGACAAGCACTTGGAAGGTATCGTCGAGAGGGTTCTGAACGGCGACCGCCTGATCGTCCGTTTGCTCCTCTCTTCGGAGGAACACCTGCAGGTTGTCGCTGCCATGGCGGGTGTTCGTGCCCCAGCAGCCAAGCGAGTGACGGCTGAGGGCAAAGAACAGCCTGCAGAGCCGTATGGAGACGAAGCATTCCAGTTCGTCGAATCGAGGATTCTGCAGCGCAAGGTCCAGGTGAATCTTCTGGGCGTCACCCCTCAGGGTCAACTGATTGCTAGTGTTCTCCACCCGAACGGCAATGTTGCCAAGTTCCTGCTGGAAGCTGGTCTGGCTCGTTGCCACGATCATCACTCCGCCCTGCTTGGTACTGAGATGGCAGCTTTCCGCCGTGCGGAGAAAGTGGCCAAGGACGCCAGAGTGGGCATCTTCACTGGTCTAGTTGCTCCCAAGGGTCCTGCTGGCGGGGCCGAGGACTACGTTGTTGGCCGCGTGCTGAATGCAGACACGCTCTTCATTCGCAACAAGGCCGGTCAGGAGAAGAAGATCCAGCTCAGCAGTGTCAGGCAACCGAAGCCATCTGATCCCAAGCAGGCTCCTTTTGCCGCCGATGCTAAGGAGTTTGTGCGCAAGAGAATCATTGGAAAGCACGTCAAGGTCACTATTAACGGCAAGAAGCCCGCTACGGAGGGATACGAGGAGAGGGAGGTTGCCACCGTTGTTCAAGGAAACACCAACATCGCTCTGGCCCTCGTCCAGGCGGGTTACGCTTCCGTCATCCGTCACCGCCAGGATGACGAGGACCGGTCTCCTGAGTATGACAACCTCATGCTTGCTGAAGCAGAGGCCCAGGCCGAAGGCAAGGGCATGTGGGCTGCTAAGCCCCCCAAGCCCAAGCAGTACCAGGATTACTCGGAAAGCGTTCAGAAGGCCAAGATGGAAGTTTCCATTCTCCAGCGCCAGAAGCGTGTGCCGGCTGTTGTCGACTTTGTCAAGTCGGGATCTCGGTTCACCGTTCTGGTTCCTCGTGAGAACGCCAAGTTGACTCTTGTCTTGTCGGGTATCCGCGCTCCCCGGTCTGCCCGTAACCCCGGTGAGGCATCCGAGCCTTGCGGCCAGGAGGCTCACGATCTTGCGAACAAGCGCTGCATGCAGCGTGATGTTGAGATCGACGTGGAGACCATTGACAAGGTCGGTGGATTCATTGGTACTCTGTATGTGAACAAGGAGAACTTCACCAAGGTCCTCCTTGAGGAGGGTCTTGCTACTGTTCACGCTTACTCTGCTGAGCAGTCTGGTCACGCTACGGAATACTTTGCTGCGGAGCAAAGGGCCAAGGAGGCCCGCAAGGGTCTCTGGCACGACTGGGACCCTAGCAAGGACATCGTTGAAGATGAGGAGGAGCCTGCCAACAGCAACAACAACACTGACACCGAGGTTTCCCAGCGTCGCAAGGACTACCGCGATGTGATGGTCACCTATGTCGACCCTACTACTGGCCGCGTTAAGGTTCAGCAGATTGGCACAGGCACCTCTGCCTTAACGGAGTTGATGAGTGCTTTCCGTTCGTTCCACCTCAACAAGGCCAACGACACTCCGCTCCCTGGACCTCCCAAGGCGGGCGACTTCGTTGCCGCCAAATTCACCGAGGACAACGAGTGGTACCGCGCTAAGGTCCGTCGCAATGACCGTGAAAACCAGCAGGCTGAGGTTGTTTACATTGACTTCGGTAACTCGGAAGTCCTGCCCTGGTCCCGTCTCCGGCCCTTGAGCCAGCCGCAGTTCTCCGTCCAGAAGCTTCGCGCCCAGGCGGCTGATGCAGTGCTCTCCTTTGTCCAGTTCCCTGGTGCCGAAGATTACCTGCAAGACGCAGTCAGCTTCCTCGAAGACCAAGTCTACAACCGTGAGCTTGTTGCCAACGTCGACTACGTGTCTCCAGACGGAACCCTGCACGTCACCTTGCTGGATCCTACCGAGTCCAAGAACCTGGATCACAGTATCAATGCCGACATTGTTCGTGAGGGTTTGGCCATGGTGCCCAGGAAGCTGAAGGCCTGGGAGCGGGCCGCTACTGAGACAGTGTCCCACCTCCGCAGCGTAGAAGAGGAGGCGAAGCAGGAACGACGGGGTATGTGGGAGTATGGCGACCTGACCGAGGACTAAATATTACACTCATAGTGTTGTGTTTGGAGTGGTGGAAGAAGATGTCTGTACAATTATCCACATGGCGCTTTATGTCGATTCCCATGAGCGACGGAATTAGTGGCTTTGGGCATTCTTACATTGGCAGCTTTCAAGAGCTGTGCTACATTAGTCTAGGATTTCTCAAATATGTTTTCTGAATAAGGATACCAAAAGTTGGATCTTTGGCAACCTTCCTGTTTTTTGTGCTCTGCATAACTCCGCGCATAGATGACATAAGCGGATGTTATCTCCGCGACTGTCCGATACGGCGAATTGCCTTTCCCGACTTCGCAGCGTCAGCCCAATTTTCTTGTCCTTTATGCCATATCCCCGCCATTCCCCTCGTGTTTGCGACTTTCGCTCATTGTTGGACTATTTGTGATTAGAATCCGACGTAGCCGGCGCCTGCTCGACTTGAAACAAGGCCTCGTGACGGGCTTGAAACAGATAAGACTATAACCGACTTCCGCCGACGCCGAGCTCAGCTCGTCCAAGGACCCGCTTCATCTTCAATACCTCCTCCTCTGCAATCGCCCAATTCAAAGCATACCCAATCTCCTTAATCCAGCACAATGCCTTTCTGGGGAACGAAGTCCTCTCAACCTGCGGCGGAGAGCGACGCCAAATCTACGCATGATGCGACCGATCCTATCAACGATCCCGTTGCGTCGGCCTCGCAGGCGGCTGGCACGGCGTGGCTCGCTGGCCATCTTCACCACCTGACTGACGACCAGGAGAAGAAGCTGGAGGAATTCAAGAAATTGTGTGAGGAGAAGGGTTACTACAAACCGGAACGGGATGGAGAGAAGGCCAGCCATGATGATGCGACGATGTTGTATGTATATTTCGCGCTTCGTCTACATAGACCTCGTCACGCTCGATGGACACGCATTGGAGAGGAGCTAACTAATATTACTCTTAGGCGCTTCCTTCGCGCGCGCAAGTTCGACGTTGACGGCGCTTGGGGCCAGTTCAAGGATACCGAGGATTGGCGCCGGGATAATGCCATTGAGTCGCTCTACGAGAACATTGATGTGGACTCCTACGATGCTGCCCGGCGAATGGTTCGTGAGCTGATCTATACGTGTATGGCGATGGTCGCTAATATTTCCCTGTCTAGTATCCCCAATGGACCGGTCGTCGAGACCGCCGCGGTATTCCCGTCTACGTTTTTGAGATCAAGCATTTAAACAGCAAGAACATGGCCGCATACAACGAGACCATGTCCTCTTCAACCACGTCCGAGACGCACCAGTCCTCCACGGTCCCGCAGCGTCTTCTGCGTCTGTTCGCTCTTTACGAGAACCTCCTCAACTTCGTCATGCCTCTGTGCACGAAGCTTCCTCGTCCTAACCCCGAAACTCCCATTGTCACCTCTACCAACATTGTGGATGTGAGT